CCAAAACATCTACAAATGATGTTGCTCCTGCAGTCAATCCAAGACCAAAAAACTTTACGCCATCCCATCAGCAGGAAGTAGCCAGAAAGAACACGACACCCCTTGTCCTTTTATAGCTATAGGGTCTGAAATGACAGAGCAGCGCTGTCATCTTGGACAAACACTGCCACTCTAAGTTCCAGTTGCCTTTCCAGCTTAACGCATTTCAAGGAAATCACTTCTTTTCTAACTACAAGCCTCCAGAAAAGAGCAGACAGTAAAACACAGATAAGACAGATCAGGCACAGAGAAAGTGCAGGGGAATTGGGTGACTGCCAAACTTCACCCTCACACAATAGGCCTCAGTAAAACAGTGGGCCTTAATAAGCACATTCCTTTCCCTTCAGGTGCACTAAGATAGGGAAGCTAACAGCAGATTTAGAGAATATGCCTGCAGCTGCCAAGAGATATATGGGAAGAGACACACAACTCTCCCTCCCAGATAAGCACAACAGAAGTAGTCCAAGTCTCTGATAAAAACTCTTAGTCTGTAATAGAGTGTGGCTTTTGACCTAACTCGTCAGAAGTCCCTCCCCAGGTTGGAAATAAACCTGTTAACTGTCAAGCCGTCCTTCTTTCTCTCCTGTTTCCTTAATTCTTACAACAACAAAAACTACAAATTGGACTTCATTAAAATTAAAAACTACTGCTCCAGACTCTGTACAGTTTGGCTTTTCGTTCAATCAGGCATCCAGTGGGTACACACTCTGCGGTTTTTCCTGCAATTCTTCTTTTTGGGGCGTTCGTAGAATCAGCTAGAGATTGATTAAATAACCTGTCAAATGTGAACTTGAATATACAAGCAGAATCAGGATTGTGCTTTCAAAGCTCACAAATGTGTTTAGATTAGATACTACATGGTGGCTTAATAAAAATTTCCTTTATCATATTCTAATTGCAGTTTGTTCTGCCAGAATCCACACCACCCTACACTACTTCTGTCAGATATAAAAATAGAAGATAAAAACCTGTCCAACTTTAAAATTGCTCATCTTGAGCCAAATTGAAAATCAGAGCACAGGCATTGAAGATAAAGGTTGGATGGTACATCCACTATTAAAAGAAGCTTCACTTCTGCATTTGTGCCTTAGCAGAAAGTGTTTTCTGGGGTTGGAGTTCTTGGGAATACATAAGGGGAAGTCACACGAGGTCATCAAGACCATTGCTGACGAGCTCCAAATGTCTGTTTGGTTCAGACTGATGCAATAGCATAGGGCAGAGATTGGCAAACTACAATTTGCTGCCTGTTTGTGTGAATAAAGTTTTATTGGCACATAACTAAGCCCATTCATCTACATATTGTCTATCGCTGAGTTTGCATTGCAATAGCTGAGTTGCATAGCTGCAACACTGATAGTGTGGCCTGCAAATCCTAAAGTACTGTGTGGCCCTTTACACAAAACTCTGTTGACCCCTGCCAAATAACATCATTATTTGATGTCAATCCGGATAGCACCATTGAAATGTCTCACAGACAAATCTAATGGGACACGTTTAAAAAGGCATGCACCTCCATAAACTTGTTTCATCTTCAGTGTTCCCTCTCTCAGTTAATAGTGAGTGCTACCATCACCAATTCGCCTGAATGAGAAGCCTCCCTTCCCTTTACCTCCCACACCCCATCCATTACTCTATTCCCCATCCATCAACACACCCTGCGAATTCTACTCCTCACTGCATTTCAAATCTGACCACGTCTCTCCATTTCCACTACCATTTTCTTAGTCTAAGTCACCATCATTTTGTTCAAGATTGACAACAGTTTTCTAACTGATCTTTCTGCCTCTAGTTTTGACCACCCTCTGCTTCTAATCCATCCTCCACCCAGTAGTAACCAGAAGGATCTTTCTAACATCTAAATCTAATTTTGTAACAAGCATAATAAAATACGTAGCTCAGATTTAATGAGCCCTTACTATGTGCCAGGCATAGTTCTAAGCACTTTGTATGTAGTAACTGATCTTAATCTTAACACTAACCCTATAAGGTAGATATTATTATCTCCATTCTTTAGAGGAAGACATTGAAAAACAGAGAACACATTCAGTTACACAGTAAACAACAGAGCCAATTGTAACTGCTTTATTATACTACTCTACACACACACACACACACACACACACACACACACACAAACTTATGGCTTCTCATTGCTCTTAAAATGAGTCCATACTACACACACAAACACACACACACACACACACACACACACACACACACACACACACACACATTTTCAGAGATGGAGTCTCATTCTGTTGCCCAGCCCAGAGTACACTGGCGTGACCTCGGCTCACTGCAACCTCCGCCTTCTGGGTACAAGCAATTCTCCTGCCCCAGCCTCCCGAGTAGCTAGGATTACAGGCACACACCACCACGCCCAAGCTAATTTTTGTATTTTTAGTGAAAACGGGGTTTCATCATGTTGGCCAGGCGGGTCTCAAACTCCTGACCTCAAGTGATCTGCCTGCCTTGGCCTCTATTATTATTATTTCTTTTTTGAGACAGGGTCTCACTCTGTTGTCCAGGCTGGAGTGCAGTGGCACTATCTCCGCTCACTGCAGCCTCTTTCTCCCGGGTTCAAGTGATTCTCTTGCCTCAGCCACCCAAGTAGCTGGGATTACAGGTATGCACCAACACGCCTGGCTAATTTTTGCATTTTAGGTAAAGACAGGGTTTCACCATATTAACAAGACTAGTCGTGAACTCTTGGCCTCAAGTGATCTCCTTGCTTTGGCCTCTTAAAGTGCTAAGACTACAAGGTGTGAGCCACCATGCCCAGTTGAGTCCATACTATTTTTAATGGCCAAAGACCATAGTCTTGTTCTTCTCTAACCCCTGCTTACCTTTCCAGCCTGGTCTCTTGCTATTCACAGCCTTGCAATTTACACTGCAGCCACCCCTACTGCTGTAGCCCCCAACCCCCCCCCCCACACACACACACACGGCATGCTGTTTTTCACCTGCATGCCTTAGTCATGTGATCCCCTCTGCTCTGGCTATTTAGTCTCTTTTCTTCTCTCCAACATGTAGCCCACTGTTGCACATCTTTTAATGCTCCAATCAGGTATCACCTACTCCAGGAAGCCTTTGCTGAGCAATCCAGATTTGTCCTTCCTTTGTGTTCCCATTATGCTGTGTTCATATCATTTTCAGTGTCCTTACTGTACAATTGTATAACTCTCCATTTGTGCTTCTGTTTTCTTCAGTAGACTGTGAGCTCAGCAGTTCTTCCACTGCAAAGGTCTTGCTTTATTCTTTGACTTTTCTGTGTTTTCTTGGACTTCCTCTTCCCAGCCTTTGGCATAGGCTACTATGGCAAAAAAAAAAAAAAAAAGTAGAAAGAGAGTATAGGATTTTGTCTTTTTGTGTATGAATGATGTGTGGAAAGGAAGTGTGAGGACATAATGGAGATCATGAACATATTTAGAGGAAATGAAATCACAGGATGAAAACATTTTAGAGCTTATTTTTGGTAGTTTCATACCAGTAATCTTTAGGAGAGGCTAGACCCCAAAATACATAATGGCTGAAACACAACAGAACTTTATCTGTGATGTAACAGTCCAAAATAGGTATTCTTGTTCAGCAGGCTAGTTCTGCTAATATAGTTATTGAGGGAAGGAGGCTGACAGAATCCCCTAGATCACACTGCGTTATCACATCCTAGTCAGTCAGAAAAGGAAAAGAACATGGAGGAGCATAGATTGGAGACATCTATAGGCCAGGCCTGGAAGTGCCACACAGCATTTCCAACAGTCAGAAATTAATCATGTGGCTATACCTCAGTGCAAGGGAGACTGGGTAATGTAGTCCAGCTGTGTGCACAAGGAGACGAATGGTTGTGGTGGGAAACCAGTGACCTTCACAGATAAACCAACAGTAAAGTTGGGCAAGTTTACCTTTGGTGTTGGGTAAATGATAGCAGAGGTTTATTTCCTTTGTACTAGTAAGCTAAATGGTGCAGCGCTGTTTAACCTGTCCCATGGGAAGCTGGGGTAGTCAAACGTAGGCAGTATTTAAAATCACACTTGACAGTTGAGCTCCCTATTGAGTCACTTAGCAGGAAGTAGCAGCTGGAGAATGATTTGCAATGCAGATGATTCCTTAATTATTAATCCCTGACACTTTGTAGATTGTCTTTGAGTAAAATCCCAGCTGGGTTAGTATGCAATCTCGGAATGCCAGCCCCCCAATATTTTTTCCTCTTTTGCATGTCTAGACCAGAGAGAGTGTTAAATAGATGGCATAGTAGCAACCTGATTCATTACAAGCTAACCAAGAGGCGCTCAAAACAAAATCAAGAAAAATAAAAACAAAATATAAAAGGGAACTCATTTTCATTTCAAACCCTAGCCACAGGCATGGGCTTATTCCCTATCATTTGTGTTTGCCCAAACAGAGTGCACATTAATGATGACCTCGTGTAGACTAAGGCAATGAGTAGATGTGAATCAATTTGAAATGAAATGTCTCCATAATTGTCTGCTAGAAGGCATATAAGTTCCCAGGAGAGCTTGTAAAACAGCTACCCAGGCTCTACTCCCTCCTCAATGCCCACCCCGGAGTCTCATTTAGTCAGTCTGTGGAAGGACCTGGGTATTTAGATTTTTTTAATGTTCCCTGGATGATTCTGATGTAAAATCAGGTTTGAGGAAGCACAACTCTGACAGGGTGGGAGGGAGAATAGGAAGGCATGCCAAAGCATGAACCAGACAGAGTGATTTTGTTTTAATATATTAAAAAATAATGAACACTAAGGAAAATCTAGGTTCATAGTTTGACATGTAGAACCATCTCTGGGGTTAGATGCATTCACAGGAACCTAGAAAACAGGACTCTTCTGGGGATTGCCCATACAATCCTTTGCCAGAGCTGACTATAAACTAGGAGAGGTATTATGACGGTAGACTTTCTCCCAGACATTCCAGATGCCCTAACTTGTTTTCTTCTTTTCCCAGTTTGTTGCTCAGCCCAACTGCCAACAGTTGCTTGCCACCCTGTGGTATGATGGCTTCCCTGGATGGCGGCGGAAACACTGGGTAGTCAAGCTTCTAACCTGCATGACCATTGGGTTCCTGTTTCCCATGTTGTCTATAGCCTACCTGATCTCACCCAGGAGCAACCTTGGGCTGTTCATCAAGAAACCCTTTATCAAGTTTATATGCCACACAGCATCCTATTTGACTTTCCTCTTCATGCTTCTCCTGGCTTCTCAACACATTGTCAGGACAGACCTTCATGTACAGGGGCCTCCCCCAACAGTCGTGGAATGGATGATATTGCCTTGGGTTCTAGGTAAGTCAAAGGGACCAGGAGCTATCGCCAGACTGCCTGCTTGTCCTGTTTAAAGGAAACTACTAGAACAGGCAGTCAGACTAGCTCTGAACTAGGGTACCCCCATCCCACCCCCATGCAGTGTGGTAGTCCTTTGTTGGGAGTCTCAGAAATATAGTTCCTTCTGTCCCAGGCCCTGGTCACTCAATATATCCTGGTCCATGGTGATACTGGCAGTACACCTAGGGCTTTTTTTTTTTGCTAACCTAATATCTTCAAGGACAGAGAAGCTGTCTGTCAGTCTAGAGACAAAGCCAAGTTTCAGTCAGGACAGGCTTCAAGTAAGGTAGGCAGAGCAAGCACTGAGCAGTCTATTCAAAGCCCCCCCTTTTTTTTTATAACCAAGGGGCACATGAATCTGCTAATTTCTCAAGGCTACTCCACTTGACTCAATTCTTGTTCAGGAGTCTACATCCTATTTGGACACGAATTTCACAACCAAGGGGAAAACCTGGGAAATTTACACACATCATGGTAAAAGCAGCCCTACCAGTAGTCTCCAGGCATAATTACATTGCACTGGACTCTCCAACACACAGCCATCTTCTAAGTCCTTGCTACTCAAACTGTGGTCCCCAAACCAGCAATATCAGTACCATCTGGGAGATTATTTGACACACAGAACCTCAGTTGCCACCCTGGATCTGAATTTTAACATGATCCTTATGTTCTCTAAAGTCTGAGAAAGTGCTACCCTAGATGACAGCCACACCTTTTACCATTTTCTTTATTCCAATGTTGAAGAAACATCCATATCATCAGGTAAAATTTTACAAAACTTCTACACCATGAGAGATAAAGGAAAAAAAAATGAGTTATAAATTATTTTGGGCCCCATTGCCTAGCTTTAGCCCCAACATCCGGTAATTTGATCCACGATCAGCTTGATCACCTCAAAATTCATTGAGAAGTTTTCCTTCCTGAACCTAGTGGAAACTAAGGACAGTGGGATAATACTAATCTAATTAATTTATTGATGAAAATACTCCCATTCCAAAATGGAAAGAAAGTAGAATCAGGCACCAAAAATTGCAACAGCATTCCAGTAACTATAGTAAAAATGCTAAGAGTACTACCCAGAAAAGTATAACATATTGGCATTTTCAGGAAAAGCCTACCAGGTTTGGCAAGTTCAAAACTGGGAGGTGGGGTAGGAAAGCAAGTGATTATTGTCTCTCAAGACTTCACTCTATTGAGACCCCAATTCCTTCCTTATTTTCAGCCTTATTCACTTGGAGGGGGGATCCTTCTATGATGACCAGGGCTGATCCTATGTAGAAGTAAACTGTTTGCCTCCATTATTCAGGTTTCATTTGGGGTGAGATTAAGGAAATGTGGGATGGTGGATTTACTGAATACATTCATGACTGGTGGAACCTGATGGATTTTGCAATGAACTCCCTCTACCTGGCAACTATTTCCTTGAAGATTGTGGCCTATGTCAAGGTAAATTGGAATGTTTGACATTTTTCCTTCACAGTAATTTTGTCTGCATTAAGCTTTTGCACTGAGAACATAAAGAGTTTCAAGAAAAAAGTGATGATGATGGCTCAATCCACATGGGAAATTACCATATAAACAGACATTCTTTTAATGGTTTGTAAGCAGTGTCCACCTAAGCAAAGAAAGTGGAAAACTGGACAATTTGCAAGTGAATCATTAGCTTCTGGGACTTTCAGGATAAAAGGGTCTTCAGCTTTCAGTGTTTAAATCCCCTCTATGATGTCCTTGCCAACATAGTGACCCAAAGATGCTTGCATGCAGCCAGGGCAGAAAATGTCTCCATGAGGAAAGGCTGACAATTCAGTCTCCAAGATTGTATAGTCAATCATGCTTTTTGGCACTAATTTCCACATTAAGGAGTTTTAGAATGGAAATATGGCTGTTCCCCAAATCTCCAACAACTTCGTTTATTTTTATATCCCTAATATGCATACTGCATAAATTTTAAGACCTTGGTAGTTATGTAGAGCATGCATATTGAATGCAGTCATGAAACATTTTTGAAAGGAGCCCAAGAGTAGGCCCTATACATGTGGTGATCGTTTAACACATACTTACAACTTCCTTAAGAGAAAATGCTGGTGAGGAAAATGTTTGAGTCCCTGGTTAATGTGCCTGGGTGAAATCCTTGTCATTCTGGCATTCTGATGACTAAGTAACACTGTTAAGGAAAGTGAAAAGTTCTTCCTTAGGAAATGGTATTTATATACTGGAGGGACCATAAATTATCAATCTAGAAATTGGTGGGTTTTGTTTAAACAAGAAGGCTTAGAATACATGCTGAAGAAAATGATTAACATTTGGGGATATGAAAAATGTATTCGTAGATTCTCAGCATTCATTAATCACATAACCTGTCCGACTTTCCTGAAGTGGCTTCCAAAGAGTTAGATAGTTCTCCATCACAAAGTATAAGGAAAAATCTGCTCTATTAAGCTGGGTAAGTGCCCTTCAACTGGCAAACACTTTAATCAAAGGAGACCTTTGCCAAGAAGTTGGAGTCCTTCCCAAAAAAGAATTTGCAAAGCAAGACGGGCTATATGCAAAATTTGGATTTGCAATGAGAATTTATAAATGGGGATAATCAGATCTACCTATCCACAGAAGTCTAGGCTGAATGACCTTCCCCAAGCAGACTGAGCCAACTTCTACGGGGCAAAGCCATAAGAACTGCTCCACAGGGTCCTTGAAACGTTTTGAATCACCATTGTACTGAAGCAGTACAGAAGCACCAAGGAATGAGCTCATCTTGAAAAAGATCCTTCATTTTACTAGAGTGCAAAATTAGTCAACAATATCCATTCCACGTCACACGATCTATAATGAGAACCAAAAGGCACACACCAAAGTACACAAAAGGAACAAATACATGTAAGATTGGCCCTTAGTCTCCCCAGACGATTCTACAAATGGAAAATAACCATTCTTTTGTTTTCTAGGATAGTACCACCTAGATCTATTCTACCACTGCCTCACTTCCATGTGTACTAGTCAAATCTGGACTATGCTACCCACTGAGTTGTGACCTTTTCTTCAGTCAGTGCTTAGCTAAAAGCATAATAACACTCCCCTCAAATTCTTATTACTATTGAGTCCCCACGTTAGGTTTTCCCTCTTCATATTTTGCTTTGGGGTTTGTAATTCGCATCCTTTGAAAGGCAAGGAGGCCAATTTTCTAATTGCATTCCATTTCAAAAGATGTAAGAAAAATCACTTGCCTCCAAGTATTATTAACTCAAGATTCAGGAGACCTGAATTTAATTCCCACTCTGATACTCGTGAGCAGGATTACCATAGGCAATCCCTCTACCTTTCTAAGCTATAGATTCTGCCTCTTATAAATAAGCAGTAGATTAAACTAGATCAGTGGTGCTCAACCTTTTATAATTTTTTCCCATGGTAGCACATCTTTAAGCAGAAACTCACATAGTAATCCAATATATTAAAAAGCCCAAAGAACTGAGTTTGGCTTGAAGAATGAGTCTTCTAAGTGCCCACTTTGGCTCCCACAGTAGCTACTAGATGCCTCTGCTGAACCCCCAGGCTCTAAGGAATGCAGTTTAAAAACCACTGTGTTAGATCAGGGGTCAGAAAACTATGGTCTGTGGGCTAAACCTGGCCTGCTGCCATGTCCATATGGTTGCATACTGTCTAGGGCTGCTTTAGGATTACAAGGGAAACATTGAGTAGTTGTGATAGGAACCATAGAGCCCACAAACCCAAAAATATGTACTAGCTGGTTCTTGACAGAAAAAGTTTGCCAATCTCTGTGCTAGATGAGCTCCATGTTTATTTGCTGCACACACATGCTATATCTTTCGCCAAAGGTACAAAGTATAGATTTACCATGAGAACCATCTTTCACACTTCTGAGTGTTCCACAAATTCAGATTCACCATCCCATGGGAAGCAGATATCTCTGAGGTTACAGTTTTGGATGTGGAGAGAGAAAACCTCAAATTATGAGCTATCCATGTTCCAGTTGATGTTTTCTAGTTTTAAAACATAGGTCTGTTTTGCTTTCAGCAAAGAGACTATCTTTCACATATACCTCAAACCATTAAAAGCTGATCTATCATCTGTGCTGTGATATCAACTATCATATAAGTAACATTTAATATAAATAGTGCTAGACTGAGTGTCTGGAGACCTGTGGTTTACTTCTTGCTGGCTCTGCCACCAACTTGCTGTGTAATCTTTAGCAAGTCACTCTGCCTCTCTGGATTTCCTCCATTTGTAAAACAGGCATAACCATTCCTACCCCTCACAGTAATGCAGCGAATGTTTGTTGGTGGAGGAAAAATGTAGAAATATAAGATTTGGCCAAGAGTACATAAAACTGATTGGCCACCTAAAAGTCTATCTGAAACAGAAGCACAAATGTGGCACGAATTCTCCAAGTTCTTCTGACAGTGAAGAATATTGGATACACAAAAGTGATTTTAATCGCACCAGTTTCCTCAGTTGTTGGAACCGAAGCACATTTTAGAAATGATAACAATATAATTTGGCCCCCAATGCAACATTTTCTGAGGAAAGTTGTTTACATTTAGTCCTGAGAAACTGTGATATTTAAATGTGAGTTCAAGGCAATATGCTTCAAATTAAATTCTAGGCAAAATCTACTTCTGTCCTAGGAAGGTAATAAGTAATTCCTTGTATTTCCATAACATCTCCCCTTATGGAGTACACAGACTTTCGCATATGAATACAGAATCACAAATATGTGCAGTGGGTAGGAGGCATTATCCTCATTTTATGGTGAAATTAAAAGACACAGGCAGTTTTAATTGACAATGCCCAAGTTGGAGCTCAGATCTCACAATGAAGTCATCTTTCTATAAGGCTACTCCTAATGTGCCGGGGGCTGGGAACCTGGGATAAGTAACCAACCCAGTAAGTACTGATTCTTCCCCTCCTTCAACTCCCTGGTTCTTTATGTGTGCTAAAGGAACATTCTAACTTATAGGGTTGTCAAATGAACTATAAAATACATCCATACACCAGTGTGTGGGGCAGTACTAAATTCATTCATTACCTGAAAGGTTGGCATGCCATTTGCAATAGTGTAGAATACATTACAGCCTGCTAAAAATTCAGCAGAAAGCTCCAGTGAATGGCTCCCTAAGGATCCTCCATCAGTCCCAAAGTGCAGTCAGCAAGGGAATGAGAATGAACACTGCATACCGAGAAGGCTGCATCTACCCCTTGTCTTTCAGTAACAGCAGGTTGTCCATAGTGCTCAGAATCCAATGAGGCATTGAGGAAGTGAATTTGATTTGAAATATTAAGGAAGCAGTAAGATTTTTCCCCACTACCTTGGGCATACTAGTGCCTCTGTTTCAGTGACACTCCCCAACAATCTGGTAAACCCACAGTTAGAAAATGTCTGTTGATAAACCACAAGTGGTTGCTCCAAATGATTGTTCTAAAATTCATTATTCTATATGTATACATTTGGATGGGAGTGAGAGGAAGAGACTTGTTAGTATCACATATTAATTGGGTGGGGCAAGAAAGACAAATAGTGTCATGTATGGGGTCTGTTGCACAATAAATGCTTGATGCATAATTATGGTGGCTTTGTTTGGATATGGAAGGGAGGATAAAAGGGAAAGGTTTATAAATGTTCACTGTACCTCTCATCTTGTGCACTTGTTGTTTCTTTCAGTATAATGGTTCTCGTCCAAGGGAGGAATGGGAAATGTGGCACCCTACTCTGATTGCAGAAGCACTCTTCGCGATATCCAACATTTTAAGTTCCTTGCGTCTCATATCCCTGTTCACAGCCAACTCCCACTTAGGACCTCTGCAGATCTCTTTGGGACGCATGCTTCTTGATATCCTCAAATTCCTCTTTATCTACTGCCTGGTACTGCTAGCTTTTGCCAATGGACTGAACCAGCTTTATTTCTATTATGAGACTAGAGCTATCGATGAGCCTAACAACTGCAAGGGGATCCGATGTGAGAAACAGAACAATGCCTTCTCCACGTAAGACAATCCCCTTTCCTTTTTTGCCATTTTTCTGCCTTTTCCATTTTTGCCCTATTTTTAGCCTACAGCTTCATTACTGCCACTTGACTGTGAAGGCAGCGCTCACTGTGGATCTACCCAAAGGATCAGAGGCGGAGGAATGTTCTTCTCTCGCTACAGGGTACTAGGAGAGGAAGTGAAGTTAAGTGAGGGAGGAAAGAAGCAAGCACACACATGGGCTTCCAGGAGGTCATCTACAGAGTTGGTTCTGAAATATGTTGGTAGCGTTACATACTTTTAAAAGAATTAATTGGGGTGAGGTAGATAATTCCTCACTCAAAAATGTGGCATCCAGCAAGGTAATGAAACAGCAAAGCTACTCCTCTGAACAAGTGGCTACCAAAGCTAACTTAACTATTGTGATTCAAGGAAGGATGCAAAAATATCTTAATGCACCCCCATTCATAGGCGTAATCTAGAGAGGGGACAGGCCGGAGGTAGGATTCCCTCACCTGCTACATTAATTTAAGGGCCAAGTGGCATCCAGCACTAATTGGAAATGTCTTCTATTTCCACTCAGGACACAAGAGATAACTCATGATCTGTCCATGAGTCCATGTGCCTCCGAACACATGGAATTCCTGTGCCTTTGCGTAGTACTGTCAGGACCTATTTCTAGGGGGACCTTCAAGCCTTCAGAATGGCTTTTATTTTCTGATAATCAATGCGATGAGAAATAGACAAGAGAAAACAAATAAGTACATGTCAGGCTATTAGGAGCTGTGCTGGGCTGACCCTGAACTTGGTGTCATATATCTTGTCCATCTCCACCCCTAATTCTGGAGAGTGCAACTCATCCCTGGTATTCACAGCAATGACCCCAAGGACATACAAGATTCTTAGTCATTAAATTAATATAGATTTTTTTCCTTATAACTCCATAAACCAACACAGTTCAGTGGACTTGAACATTGTAGAATTGTGCTCCAAAACAAAGGCCACAGACAAAAAGAAAGACTCTGTTGAATGTGATAGAGAGGAAAAAAAACAATGCTATTTAGCCGATTCCTGTTATTTGTCTCTAACACCATTTCCTAAAATCGATTCACACAAACCACAGTTCGGTAGCATGTTAATAGACAGAAGAATGGAATCTGTGATTAAACCTCCTGTGCTACATCATGTTCCTTGTCTCCCTTTCCAAAACTCAGGGCTAAATCTTGGGTGGGGAAACCAGATTTGCGTACAAGGAGAATGGGTCCAAAATGTGTTGGCAAAGAGATAGTGCTATTTTGGTTAAGCCAACCAGGAGTGTATAACAGCAGCTTATTAGCTTGCTAGTGTCTTTTAAGTAGGAAAGGCTTCTTCTCCTGCATTACTCCAGAGACAGAACTCACAGCAACCTGTTTTCAACATAAAGATCAATTGTATAGTGGCTTGAGCACCAGGAGACTGCATTTGTCCACATCAAAGTGTTGAACAGAATAAATACATGAATGAGAGGTGCCTTCCAGGAGGTCAGGTCCCTGCCAATTATGCTTTCATGTGTACTCTGCTGAGGAAGTTTATGAAGTGCTTCCTTGCAAGTTTGTAATGATTAGTAACACCCCTGTTGCCAACTGACATTTTGCTCCCATCACTTGCCTAGCAGGGACAATTGGCAAGAATGGGCACCTATCATATGCAAAATTATATGTTGGGGTGTCAGATATAAAGAAACATTGTCATGCTGGGGCCAAATCAGCAGTAATGTTAGCTCAACTTTCCATCTATCAGTCAAAATTTTTTTCTCCATAGAAGGCTGACTCATATTTATGTTTTCTTTTAAATGCCTCAAATCAGCCATTCATTCATTCATTCATTCACTGAAACGGAGTCTTCCTCTGTCACCCAGGCTGGAATATAATGACATGATCCCAGCTCGCTGCAACCTCTGTCTCCCAGGTTCAAGTGATTCTTGTGACTCTGCCTGCCGAGTAGCTGAGATTACAGGTGCCCACCACCATGTCCAGCTAATTTTTGTATGTTTAGTTGAGATGGGGTTTTGCCACATTGCCCAGGCTGGTCTCAAACTTCTGACCTCAGGAGATCCACCCATCTCACCCTCCCAAAGTGCTAGAATTACAGGTCTGAGCCACTGCACTCAGCCTCAGGCATTTATAAACCTGTTAAAATACACGTTGCTCAGCCAGGAAGTCAGAAAGATTCTGCTTTTAGAGACGGGTATAGTTTGTTTATGTATCTGGTGGAAAGTATAGTAGCTGCTTATTGTCATCCTTTTCCTTCTGATTCTCCAGAGATGCCATTGTTTTTCTTCCACATTAAAAAACAAAACAAAACAAAACAAAAAAACAGACTAGGTGCGATGAAGAAATCCCATCTCTACTAAAAATACAAAATTAGCCAGGCGTGGTGGCATATGCCTGTAATCCCAGCTACTTGGGAGGCTGAGGCAGGATAATCACTTGAACCTGGGAGGTGGAAGTTGCGGTGAGCCGAGATCGCACCATTGCACTCTAGCCTGGGCAACAAGAGCAAAACTCCGTCTCAAAAAAATAACAAAAAAAGAAAGAAGGAAAGAAGGAAGGAAGGAAGGGAAGGAAGGGAGAAAAGAAAAGAAAGAGAGAGAAAAAAAGAAAGAAAGAAGTAAAAAAGAAAGAAAGAAAGAGAGAGAGAGAGCGAGAGAGACAGACAGACAATAATCTTTTCTCCTTAGGCACACAATTTAAGGGAAACTCATTGTCCTTGTTGACAACCACATGACAGTACTGCTAGGGGTTTGCGTTTGGTATTGCATACTGGGACTACCTGGCCTTCATCTGCTGTAGAGAAATAATTAGAAAGACATTATCATTCTGAAGGCATAGGACTTGTGAGAGAAAAAAAGGAGCTAACTTGATCTAGCCCTCATCTCCTGATGCTTCCTGAATACATCTGGCTGTTTCAGAGGCCTCTCAAACACAGGATGTCCACAACTAAATTCCTTATCCCTTATCTCCATATTTTCTTTCCTTTTTTTTTTTATTTTAGTTTTCTCATTTTTAATTCAATATTTTTTAGTCCAAGATTCTTACATATAGCATTTGTTCTCTATAAAGTTGCTGAAAACTAGATTGATTCTATATAACATGTTTTGTTCTTTTCTTTTTTAATTGCATTTTAGGCTTTGGGGTACATGTGAACAACATGCAAGATTGTTGCATAGGTACACACATGGCAGTGTGGTTTGCTGCCTTCCTTCCCCTCACCTGTATCTGTCATTTCTCCCCCTGCTATCTCTTCCCACCTCCCCACCCCCCATCCCTCTGCCATTTCCCCCCAACGGACCCCAGTGTATAGTGCTCCCCTCCCTGAGTCCATGTGTTCTCATTGTTCAACACCCACCTATGAGTGAGAACATGCGGTGTTTGATTTTCTGCTCTTGTGTCAGTTTGCTGAGAATGATGGTTTCCAGGTTGATCCATGTATCTACAAAGGACGCAAACTCATCGTTTTTAATGGCTGCATAATATTCCATGGTGTATATGTAACACATTTTCCCTATCCAGTCTATCATCGATGGGCATTTGGGTTGGTTCCAGGTCTTTGCTATTGTAAACAGTGCTGCAATGAACATTCGTGTGCACGTGTCCTTATAGTAGAATGATTTACAATCCTTTGGATATATACCCAGTAATGGGATTGCTGGGTCAAATGGGATTTCTATTTTTAGGTCATTGAGGAATTGCCACACCGTCTTCCACAACGATTGAATTAATTTACACTCCCACCAACAGTGTAAAAGTGTTCCTATTTGTCCACATCTTCTCCAGCATCTGTTGTCTCCAGATTTTTTAATGATCACCATTCTAACTGGTGTGAGATGGTATCTCAATGTGGTTTTGATTTGCATTTCTCTAATGACCAGTGATGATGAGCATTTTTTCATATATTTGTTGGCCTCCTGTATGTCTTCTTTTGTAAAGTGTCTGTTCATATCCTTTGCCCACTTTTGAATGGGCTTGTTTGTTTTTTTCTTGTAGATCTGTTTTAGTTCTTTGTAAATTCTGGATATCAGCCCCTTGTCAGATGGGTAGACTGCAAAAATTTTTTCCCATTCTGTTGGTTGCCAATTCACTCTGCTGACTGTTTCTTTTGCCATGCAGAAGCTGTGGAGTTTGATTAGGTCAAATTTGTCTATTTTGGCTTTTGTTGCCAATGCTTTTGGCGTTTTGGTCATGAAGTCATTGCCTACCCCTATGTCCTAAATGGTTTTGCCTAGATTTTCTTCTAGGGTTTTTATGGTGTTAGGTCTTATGTTTAAGTCTTTAATCCAGCTGGAGTTAATTTTAGTGAAAGGTGTCAGGAAGGAGTCCAGTTTCTGCTTTCTGCACGTGGCTAGCCAGTTTTTCCAACACCATTTATTAAACAGGGAATCCTTTCCCCATTGCTTGTTTTTGTCAGGATTGTTGAAGATTGGATGGTTGTGGGTATGTTGTATTTCCTCTGAGGCCTCTGTTCTGTTCCATTGGTCTATATCTCTGTTTTGGTACCAGTACCATGCTGTTTTGATTACTGTAGCCTTGTAGTATAGTTTGAAGTCTGGTAGTGTGATGCCTCCTGCTTTGTTTTTTTTTGCCTAGAATTGACTTCGCTATGCGGGCACTCTTTTGGTTCCATGTGAAGTTTAAGGCGTTTTTTCCAGTTCTGTGAAGAAGGTCATTGGTAGCTTGATGGGAATAGCATTGAATTTGTAAATTACTTTGGGCAGTATGGCCATTTTCACGATGTTGATTCTTCCTAAACATGAACGTGGAATGTTTCTCCATCCGTTTGTGTCCTCTCTTATTTCATTGAGCAGTGGTTTGTAGTTTTCCTTGAGAGGTCCTTTACGTTCCTTGTTAGTTGTATTCCTAGGTATTTTATTCTCTTTGTAGCAGTTGTGAATGGGCAGTTCGTTCTTGATTTGGCTTTTTTGTTTGTTTGTTTGTTTGTTTGTTTGTTTGTTTTTTGAGACGGAGTTTCGCTCTCGTTACCCA